CTAAATTATACTTTTTGCATTAACAATAAATTAGTTACATAATTATAACTATATATATAATATTCTTAATAATAGAAAAGGATAAAAATATATTCGTATTGGTTATATATTATTTTTCAAAATAATTTTCTTCTCACTTTTGAGTAACAATAAAGACATTATTTTATTAAATTGGTTCAGTTCCAACAATTTTTTGAATTCATTGTTTCTTGATGCTACATATCCATTATAACAACTTAAAATAAAAATGCAGTATAAAAATATTGGATAGTTAAATTCAGAAAATTTAATAAATAATGTAGAAAAATGGATTTTTTTACCAAATACATATAAAGATCTATTACAGGGAGACAATAATAATACTTAAAATAATAATAATAATAATGAATTTTAAATGGCCATACACCTAAAAAATATTAGATATGTGTTTGATTTTTGTATGACCAAACACATCTAAAACCCAAACGTGAAAACATCCTAATTTTCTTATGATTATTCATGAAAAATATGACAACAGTAAAAAATGCTAACAAACAACAATAATATGAAGAATTGTAATATTTTTTCTTTAAAGCTATATTAAGAGAATAAAAAAGAAAGAAATCTATTGATACTAAAATAATAGAAAATAAGGAAAATATAACATTCATATATTATTAATTTTAAAATTGTCGCTTACTTTTCTTAAAATTTCCCTTATTTTTCTAAAATTGTCGCTTATTAATAATTTCATGTTTATAAGGAAAATCACTATTAGATATTTATAAGAAAAATCAAATGTGTAGTTATCTAAAAAATATTTATCTTAAACCAATGCCTACTGACTTTGTTATGATTTTCAACCCAATAATTTTATTTTAACTTGAAAATAAGGTTCGTTAAAAAAATTATTACTATTAAAATAAACTTATAGATTTTGTAATTATAATTAAAACCATTTTTTTTATTTAACCTTGCAAATAAGATTTTGGAAAAAGGAATATTATAAATAAAATAAAATTATAAGAAGTTTTCTTACAATTTTAGATGTTTAGTATTTTTGTAAACAGAAAAAATAATATTAAATATTTATAAGAAAAATATTTTTCCAAATATAAAGAGATATATTATGAAATAATAATTATTTATATGGAAATAGAATGTTTTACATTTTTTTTGCTTAAGATTTATTTATTTTTTTTTAAATGAAAATTTAACTTTTAAATTATTTTAGTCACAGTTTTTCTTAAAAAAGACTGTTATTTAACACATGTCAAAATCTTAAATATATAATTGTCATGTGTTGTGATTGTGTTAATTAACAAATTTGAAAACCAAGCTTTATATAATAAGAAAGTTTTTTGTTTAGTTTTTTTTTTAAAAAAAGGAAAACTAACTTTAAATTCTTTTAGTTCAAGTTTTTTTAAAACTATTATTTAACACATGTCATAATCTTAAATATATAATCGTCATATGTCCCCGATCATGTTAATTAGTAACTTGGAAAACCAAGTTTTATATAATGACATGTGTCCAAAAAAAATATAATACATATCTCTTCTTTTTTTTTTTTTTTAAGATTTACAAAAGGATAGTTATTACAAATAAACAAAATTTCTTATGGTTTCTTTTATGATTTTAGAAAATAAAAATTACTATACACAGTTTTTTACAATTATATATTGATTAGAATCCCCTATATATTAAATGCGAAGTGATTTTGCCATGTCATCTCTACAATCAGTTTCACAAAAAAAAATGTCACATGGCTACTATAATTGATGACATGGCTTATATCAAAATATGACATAAATAATTACATTTAATGTTGATTTATGTTTTTGGTAAACTTTTTAAATATGGTAATAACGCATACTTTACATTTAATGTTGATATTTATTTATGTTAAAATATTTTTAAAATATAGTAATAACTCATACATCATCTTTAAAATCATTATATTCAAATATAACATTATACATTTTGAAATTTATTCTATTTTGTTTTTTTTTCTTATATAATTTGTATTACTAAAATTTTCAAAATTTATTCAAATTTTAAAAAATATAAATTTCTAATCATAAATCATTAGTTTCTTATATATCTAGAAGTTTTGTAAATATTGTTTAGTTTAAATCATTAGCTATTATATATCCACATGTTATCTTTACAATCAATTTCACAAAAAAATGTGACATGACTACTAAAATTGATGACATAAACTGTGGCATAATATGACATGGATAATTATATTTAGTACTGATTTATATTTTTGGTAAACTTTTTAAATATAGTAATAACGCTTACGTTACATTTAATGTTGATATTTATTTATGGTAATAACACATACATCAACTTTAAAAAATATATATTCAAATTTAACACTAAAAATTTCGAAATATTATTCTATTTTTATTTTTATATTATACAATTTGTATTAGTTGAAATATTCAAAAATTGTTACAATTTAAAAAAAACAAAAAATTTATAATCCTAAAATCATTAGTTTCTTATATATCTTAAATTTTTGTAAATATTGTTTAGTTAAAGTTTTTGATAATTATATTCTTTTATATCATTTTTATTAATTTTATCCACATTAACTCAATATATTTAATTAATATAAATGGATAGAAAAATCTATCTAACATTATAATTTTATTCTTAAATATATACATATATATTCTTAAATAAAAAATATTTTATCTTAATTTAATGTTTAAAAATCAATATATATTTATATATTTGTAAGAAAATATAAAATCTATAATATTAATGAAATTTGTTACTAAATATAATTTAAGCTTAAAAATTTTCTCACTGCACATGGTGCAGGAAAACACCTAGTTTAAAATAAGTTATTAGTAAATAATTATTTCAGTAAACTTCAAATAGTTTTATAAAATAGGAATTTTTCCAATTCGTTTTTAATATCTCTACATATTTTACAATTTATTTATTTTTAGTTAACTGGCTTTAGTATTATGTTTATCATCAACTTCTTAAAAATAAAAATTATTAATTAATTAAATTATATAATTATCTTTTTGAGGATTTAAAAAGAAATATAATAAAATTTCTCATTTGGTTTTAAAAAAGGGAAATTAACTTTTTAGATTATTTGTATATTTTTTGGTTTATTTTTTTTAGAAAAAAATGAAAAACAGTTATTTAATACATGACATGATCTTAAATATATAATTGTAATGTGTCAAGATCATGCTAATTAGCAACTTTAAAAAACTAATTTTGTAATTACCTTAAACCCATATTTTAAAAAATAAATACTATTGTTAAATTTTTATTTATATGAAAATATTAAAAAATAGAATTTTCTATATCTAACACTTCTACCTTCTTTATATGTATTCACGTTTGGCTATATTCATCTAAAAATATTACAATTCTCTTTGGCTTAACATTTTAACAGAAAAATACTATTAAATATTTATAAGAAAATTATTTTGTAAATATTTTAATTTGTATAGAATTTTATCTTAAAATAATGTTTAGTGTTAGTTATCTTAGACCATGTTTTAAAAAAGAAATGCTATTGTTAAAATTTTATTTATATGGAAATATTAAAACATTCTTTGTTTAAGAATATTTAAAAAGAAAAATAATATTTTTAGATTATTTTTATATTCTTTTGGTTTGAGTTTTGTTTTTAAAAGGAAAATTGTTATTTAACACATATCAAAATCTTAAATATATAATTTCCATGTATCTCAGTCATATTAATTATTAACTTTGAAAAACCAAGCTTGTAATTATCTTAAACACATGTTTTAAAAAAGAAATACCATTTTTAAAATTTTATTTATATGGAAATATTAAAAAAACTTTTTTGTATAAGAATTTTAAAAAAGGAAAGTTAACTTTTTAGATTGTTTTTATATTATTTTGGTTTAAGTTTTTAAAAAATAAAAATAAAATCTGTTGTTTAATACATGTCATAATCTTTAATATATAATATCCATGTTTCATAATCATCTTAATTAGTAATTTTTTTAAAAATACTATTATTAAATATTATTTATATGAAAATTCAGTTTTTACAGATTTTGTTTAAGATTGGTTAACAAAAAGAGAAACTAACTTTTAAAGTTTATGTTTAATATTTTAAAGAAGTAAAACTAACTATTAAATTTTTTTTGGTTTAAGTTTTTAAAAGAAAAATTGTTATTTAACACATGTCATGATCTTAAATATATAATCGCCATGTGTCGCGATCATGTTAATTAGTAACTTTGAAAACTAAGCTTTATATAATAAAATAGATTTGTTTACAGCATACTAACAACCTATTAGCCTTATCTGGTTACAAGCTTATTGTGACATGGATAGATGGTCCTAAGCATGGAACAAACTATACTACATCTTTTGTGAAGATAAGTAACAAATATCGAATATTGTTCTTTTAAACTAATATGTTTTCTTTTAGTTTGTTAATCTTAACTTCAAAAATTTATTTCATTATTATTGGTGTTGTATACAGATCATCCAATCAGTTTTTTTTTTTAATTCTTTCTGATAAAGGGTCTTCATATTGTCCAATTAGTTAACTTCTTTTATTCTTCATAACATAACTTGCCTCTGTTCTCAAAGGAATATATTTGCAAGTTAAATTGTTTTATAAACTAATTACAACACAGAATATAGAAAGATACATATTTTAATACAAATTAAGGTACCAACCTGTATTACAAATTTGGGGAGTGGTTCAAGCTGTTGTTCTGAAATGATAGGGGATATGGTGAAGGTTTGATGCTTCGAAATGTATTTGAACTCTCCTAGCTTGAGCTGGAAAGTGAAGGTCTTTCCCACAATATCAGTGATAAAGTGGGGGAAGTCATTTTCTACTCGAGCAATCACACCTTCACCTTGCAAAGTTGTAAAATTTTAATTAACGAAGCTGTAGTCATAAGTAAGAGCTTCAGTTTAGACGAATGACTGACAAAAGAAATCAATACCTAAATATGTGCAGCTTTGGCAGCCTGAATGTTGGTTAGCTTCGCCATCTAAAGATCAAAAGTCACAGGAACAACATCATCAGTATTCTCGGAAACAGACAGCTCCACACGATACCTATAGATAAGTAAGAAACACAGCAAAGTGTAATAGTTTTCAGGAAGCTATGTTAAAAGACTAAAATATCAGTGATAACTTAGGAAGAGGATTGTTACTTGAGGCACACACAGCGTCGGGCTTATCACAGAAGAGGCATGTGAAAGAAGATATCTCACGCTGGAGCTTCTTTGAACATCTAGAGCATTCAATATAACACCATCCTTTTCTGTTTAGATACCAATTGCTTTCGCAGTGCAAAGAAATTCAATTATCTGTTATCAGTAAGGAAAACTAACTGTTAGAAGTCTAAACCGAGATATTGAGTTGAGATAGACGAAACTTTGACCTGAGACTCAGATGTCAGAGTGTATTGGTTGAGTTCAGAGACGGTGAGTGGTTCTATTTTTTGAGCAGGAACCAGCTTGAATGAAGAACCATTCTGGGTTGACGCATCCCCACTCAACCTAAAGAGTTTAAAGTGACATCACACTATCACAGTACCGAATGATGATATCAATATGCAAATATTTTACTCCGCGCTAGATTTGAGATTGATCAAGAAACCTTTCCAAGAGTAGAGGTAGAAAATGAACCATCCGCTTCCTTCCCTTGCCAGAGTCTAAGCTTTTGCTTTCCTGATTTCATTTGCACCTTGCTATTAAAGAGAAGGATTGTGGCACCACCAATGAGTCCCTCAGCTTTTCCACACGAAACATCCCATACCTGATACAAGCATAAAATCTTCGCTAAACAGAAGAAAAAGAAAACAGAAAAAGCAACTGGGGCAGCTATTTGTTTACCGTGATGGCAAGTTGCGAGTGAGCAGTCAAGTCACGATATTTGGAACTGAGAGTGATGAGTTCGTTCCAACAGTATGGTGATCCTATAATGTTCAATATGGAATTAAGAACAGAGCTAGTTGAAACATCAAAACCCTTTTACAAAGGTCATTAACATCACAGCTCATACACAATCAAGGAAGGAAAAATTTATGAGGAATATATATAGAAATAGAAGAATCTCCACATCAGTCGCATGTCCATATATCCTCCTTTGTATCTGCGTTGTTATCATGTGGTTCCTCTGTCTCACATTTCAACATCATATCAAATTCGAGATCACAACAAATCATTATTATTGATATTCAAAATCCAAACCAAAAAAATCACCTGAGCGAAGTTGATGGTGGATTGGCGAAACCTAGGATAAACCTTGGCTTGGTGCTTGAGCTGACTCGCCAATGGCTTACTTATCGTTTTCACCAGAAGCGTCCCCAGTTTCATCAACGGTAGCACCATCTTCCTCCTCCTACAACTATCTCACTTGACTCTCGGGAGAGAGAAATATTGCGAAGAATGCTATCTATTAAATGCAAAGAATCATTAGATGACAGAAGATGAGACTTCTGAATCGGGAACGGAGGCTACTCTACTTATTAACTACATCAAAAGAAAATTGCATGAGCATTATGAATTAATCAAACAAATCGTCTAGAACCCTAAACTGAGGGAAATCAGAACCTAGTATTGTGCTTACCAAGGAAATCAACTCGGAACCAAAAATAAACTTCAAAATATTTGAATAAGTGGAATCGTAATCTATTTGCGTCGATGAACAGACAGGTGTCTTTCAACTCTGGGAGGCCAGAAATATGAGTCAAACAAATGGTTAGAGAGTGATCATCGACTCGGTAGATTTCTTTGGTTAATGAGGCTGTAGATTTATTTCTCTAGGTAGATTTTGCAGTTCTGGAAGCCATTGCTTATATATATAGGGTGAAAAAAGTAAGGGAATCGCAACGGTTCCAAGGAACACATTTGTTGCAGTTAAGAAGAGCTTTGATGAGAGAAAGAGAGGTGGAGGAAGATAAACAATTGAAAAACTGAGTTGTGAATAACAACTTTTTCCTTTAGAAGAGAAAACCAAAGGACCAAAACCAAAAGTGAATATCCTAAAATCATGAAAGAGAATAAAAGTAGTAATAGAAGTTTTGGACTGTAACCTGGGTTTCTTACAAGACTGGACAAAAAAAAAAGAAAGCAAGTGAATATTAAAGTAGCCCGATTTATTCAACCGTAGAAAAATGACTTCGCATCTTGATGAATTTTAATTGGTTGATTTAATTAAGTGACATGGATAGTTTTAGAGTGGAGGATATTCCCCTTTTATTATTGTGTTTTTGCTCAATCTAACAATAATAAAAGGGGAATAGGGTGTTTTTGGTAAATAAGGAGTTTTTGCTCAATCTAACAATAATAAAAGGAGAATATCCTCCACTCTAAAGACTTATTCTTGGGTTCACCCCCTAGGATGAACCTCTAGATTCACTATCCAATAAGATTGCATTATTTCATATTTGATATCTTTTTAAAAAGGAAAAAAAATCTTATTAAGTTATATTATGTTTTTAAAAATAAAAATACAAAATAAATACAAATAATAATAATAATTAATAAAAACGAAAATAAAATTTAGCGTTTATGATTTATCCAAGGGTTTAGGGTTTAGTGTTTATGATTTAGTGTTAAAATATTTTTTTAAAGAATTTTTTTATAAAAGTTATTCAAAGGTTTATGATTTACCTATGGGTTTAGGGTTAAAATATTTTCTTTCAAAAAGATATCAAATATAGGGTTAAAATATTTTCT